AGATATTGAAATTTATGATAGCTGCTACACATGCCACAATCGCCAGAGGTTGGAAAGATAAAACAAGGTGGGACCTGAAAACTTGGTGGTCTTATCTTTCTGAATATTTAATTAGTGATTTCATTTATGAAAAGAAAAATAAATATTTGAATATTCAGTCAAGACAAGATTGGTTTAGAAAATGGTCTTGTTTAATCGAAAAAACAGAAGGAAAAGATAGGTACAGAGCTTTAAATCAGGCCTTCCAGACAATTAAATCAATGAATTGATTCAAGTAACCCAGATGGGGGTGGGAGGGAGGTGAGGAGAGGGTGGTAAGGGTGGGTGGGTGGGGAGGGGTTTTTAAAAGGGTGATTAATCAAGATTTATGGTTAAGGGAAGCACAATTGGAACCTGTATCCTAGACATAAAAATTGTAATCAGTTTTTGATATTGTCTTTTGATGCTAAGGTTCATATTGTATTGTTTTGTTATCCAAAATAAAATTTATAAAAAAAAAACTCATGCTGTAATGTCTGAACTGTGTAAATCAAAGTTTCTAAGAAAGGTTTTTTTTCCCCAGAGGACAGAATTCAGGCCATACTCTGAAGCAGATTTCTAAGCCACTAGCTATGCTACGTATTTGTTGGTGTAATATTAGGTTTTACAACAGAAGAAGTTATTCTTCATTCAGTTATTTCTTAACATAGCAATGAGTAATTTTATCCATTTTCCGCCTGATTTGAGAGACTAACTCTGAGCAAAGTTTGATCATGGTTGTTTTACAAATAAAATATTTCAGTGCAAGAAATAGCATTTTCTACTTGGAAAATAAGACTGCAAGACAGAAATATTCATTCTGGCACAAAAAAAGTTTTTGAGCAGAAAAAAAGCTAGGAATGTAGATCTGCATAAAATTCACACATGGTTGATTACAAAAAAATAACATATTTAATGACATTGCTGTTTCTGTGCTGTAATTATTTCTACAATGAAACATTATTTTCCATGCAGAAAATGCTTCGTGTGCTGAACACCTCTGCCATGAAAAAAATTGTGCAGAATAAGCCCCAAACTGTGAATATTCTCATCAGAGGATTCTTCTTGGAAGAATTTCGCAACACTTAAAATACACGATTCTCAAATATTCTTTCCATCCCTATTTACTAACCACAGTATAACAGTTGGTTCCAGAAGTTTCTATTTCTTGCGATGAGAATGCTCAACTGAAAGAGAATGAAGCAGCAGGACTTAGTTATGCCTTGTTTGTGTAAAACGTCAAATTCTGATTCAGTTGAGTTCTAAGCCAAGGTGTGACATGATGCCTGGCCACATGACAACTACATGAGACCCCACCTCACCTACCATGTTCTCAAACTGGCAGCATTTGTCTTCTGTGTTCTAAAAATTAAAAATTAGCGTGTTTTTTCATATCTACCACTTGTGGTGGAAGATAACCCACCAAATATCTTCCACAACAATTTCTTAATGTTATTGAAACAACATCTTTGTTCAATGTTCCTCCTTTATACAAACCTGTTAGGTAGTTCAAAAATAGCAACTGAAATAGCCACCAACTGCAAAAACAATTAAATATGTTTGAGCAACAATTATTTTTGAAAGACTCTATCATTAAGGGCTAATTCCAAGAACTGAGGCATCATTTCAAGATACCATGAAAATTTCTCCCAAAGCATAAACTTTATAATAAGTGATGCAAGTTCATATTGGATATGGGCTGTAAAAAAAAGAAGATTGTTATAATAGTGCTCTTCCCAGCAAATCAGACCATTAAGAATGTACTTAATGTTCACTTGAATTGAAAAGGAGGCCCGTTAACATCCATATTTTGTTACTTTGTATAATCATAGGAAAATTTAGTACCTAGTTGTTCCAGGCCACAAATTTGATTTTTACAAATGCAAAGAAAGAGAGGGAGAGAGGGAGAGAGGGAGGGAGGGAGGGAGGGCAAAAGACAGGCTGTTCATTTCTAAAATACATTTTAAGTGTTTTGATATGTTCTAACATATTGATATCTTGCAATAGGCTACAATTGTGTTGTTACACAGTTGCAGGGATTCAAATCTATCAAAAACATGGTTCCACATAGCTCATGAGAATGGATATGTTTTTCTTGAAATCTCAGCATAGACAATCATCATTAGTTGTGATACCTTTTCCATCCACTCCAATTTAATTGTTATTTATATCATTTACCTTCTAACCAGGAATGTGACATGTACAAACTTCTTCTTAGATACAGCTTAATACCACTCCAACAACAATAGATATAGCTAATTTGACCTTTGTAATGCACCTGCTCTCTCCTGCCCATGTCTCAGTCAAAATGTCTACATCCTATTCTACTAATAGTATGAGCTTTGCTCCCAACCTTTCCATTTTATGCTTGAGACAATTAGCATATTATCACTACCATCATCATAATAAAACAATCAACTAATTAACTGTGAATAGCAGTTATACCATATCAAGAAAAATGGAAGATACTTATCTCAGAAATCTCTGATACAGAAAAGGACTCAAAAATCGGTCTGATACAGAAAACGGCTGAGTACTTGATCTACTGCTGTCATTGACCAGAGTGATATTTTTGGATACTCATAAACTGAGGCTATCATATTCTGAACACATCATGAGACAACATAACTCACTGTAAATAACTATGAAGTTTCCTGAAATGAAAGGCAATATGGGTTCATCCAATCAAGGAAGCCAACCCCTTGAGTTTCAAAGATCTGAGCAGGACATTTGATGATGAGGGACTCTAATAGACAAGGTCACCATAAGTGGCATCAATCTGACAACAAATAACACACATATATCAGAAGAGATGTCAGTAACTGTACATTTTCAACAGTGCTGTTCTTGCTGGATTCTGGTACACCAATACCATCACAACGACCACCCCTGTCCTAGCACCATAGAAGAAGTAAAACACTTTTTACATAATGCATTGTGTTATATCATTCTATTCATCATTGTAGCATTTGGTTCATTCAACCATCTTACTATACAAATGATCATAGCATCATGTATACAGAAATATGACAAACTGTGAATGCTAATTCTTTACAGAAATTAATGTTTAATTATCTCTTTGGCATCATTGATATAAAAGAACTTCACACTGTAACAGAGGGCAAATATCTGCTAGGAGAAGCTTAGATTCTAAAATTCAGCAGTGGAAGACAGGGTGAAATGAGGCAATATTTGATTGTTTCAACTGTCTATGTTTTAGCTTGATTAAGTAATGTGTTTGGCTAAAAGCTTCATAGAAAAGATGCGTTTTACAGAGTAATAACACAGATGTTCTTGAAGCCTACCATGTGAAGATCCTGGGAGGACAAAACGGAAACTGAAGATCGCATTCCCTCCCCCTTCCTCCTCAAACTGGACACTCTTCACTTCCAGAATTCTTCCATTCTTCCTTGTACATTTATATCTCAACTTGAAGTCATTTCTGAACATATAGGGAAGCAAAGGAGCAAGGGTAGTCAGAGACTCAGCATTGCTTCCTTGCTTCTCTACAGTACAGTGATAGTGAACATATGGCACATGTATGCCCTTTCTCCTGGCACATGTCTCTTTGCCCACCCCTTGCTCACCATCCCACCCCAGTCGCCTGCTTACTCACCTGCCCCCTGCTTGTTTGCCCACTAGCCCACCCCCTGCTCACTAGCTCCCCCCCCCTCACCACCCCCTGGGTGGACCCCCAATGGTTTAAGCATGCTATCTCTAAGGTTTGCCATCACTGCTATAGTAGAATAAAGAAAAATAGTAGAGTAATGGGCATGAGTCAGGATAGTGCAGCCCACAGATAACATGTAAACTTTCACGGTTTTTGGAAGAGATCCACAAATCTTTCCATTTAAAAAAAAACTATTGCTGCCAAATGCTCTTAAAACTTCACCTGTGGGATGTAAGAGAATGCTGACACATTTTTTTTAACCAGGAAAGATTTTTCCACCAATTGAATGTGACCTGAAAATTAACTAAAGTGTACTGGAAAAGAACTTTGGGGAAAGCCTGCAGAATTAATGCCCTCCTTCCAACACTGACAGTTGCCATCACTATCCTGAGCACTGTCATGCTAACTGAGCCTAATGTTGAAGCCCAAGAATATCTAGAGGACCAAACATTCCCTATTCCTGATCTATGTACTTATGAAACTGCTTTCTTCTTCCCATGCAGGCAGAAATTTCTTCCTAAAGTTAAAGAAGCTTAGGAAGCTGGAACAACACTTCTAAAAAGCAACCCAGTATACTTCTTGGCAGAACATTTCTTTTGCTAGCAAACCAAATTGGTATGGTATGAATGGTGGCCCCTTGCCTATGGAACTCCCTCCCCAGTAAAAGTAGAGCAGCCCCCTCTGTACCGACCTTCAGGAAGAAAGTAAAAATATGGTTATGGGACCAAGCTTTTGGTGAGCAATTTAGTGCAATACAAGAATATGGAATAGTGAAATGTCTAATGGAATGGCCTTGGATTTTGATTTTGGACAACGTGATTTTAATAATTAGTTTAACAGTGATGTTTTAATTTCTTGGTTTTAATTATGTGTTTATTTTATTGTATGTATGTCTATGGCATTGAATTACTGCCTTTTTTCTAAGGACACTGAGTTCAGGGTGAGAAGGACAGTATATAAATGTAATAAATAAATAAATAAATAAATAAATAAATAAAGGTAGCTACTTGATAGAAGGCTTTAAATTTTTATTGTACACACAAATTGGATATCTACATTCAAATGAACTGGTGTCTATCTTTCTTTCAAGGTATCCCACCCTTTAAGCAAATTCTAGAACACTGGAAGGGGAGGGAGGTAGGGAAAATTAAAAGCAGCAAATTATATGAACAGTACAGTTTTTAGTGGTTACAACCTGATGTTCTTCAAGCTTTGTATAAGAAATAATGCATATCAGAGAACACAGTTTGATCTTAGTTACTTTGTGTTTTGGTAAGAAGTAGGCAGTTAGATGTGACAAAGTTATAGATACCTTTCTTTCCTTTTCCTCAGAAAGTTTTATGGTAAGATTCAGTCTTCAACTGGTACAGAGCATCAGTTCCAACACTGCAGACCACCTAATAAAAAATACACAGGGAAGCTATAACTTTTGTGTGTTGTTCTAACTGGTTACATTCAACCACCTCTGGATTCCTGTAATGGCATCTTTGTTTGTGTTTCCGCCTAGTTATCTCATAACAGAATTATAAGCATAATTTTTGACATATGACTTCACTAAGGAATCAATACTTGACTATTCATCCTCCATATATAACATTTTTATCAATGTAAACATGACTGCAGAACATGCAAAAGACTGTAGGGATGGAATTTGCAATATTTTATCTTTAAAAACATACATTAAATCAAGAAAAAGGAGCAACAACAGATACAATTAATGAATGATATTGCCTCTGCAGATAAAAAAAATCAGCTGATACTCAGACAAATGCACTGTTACAGCTAGTCGTCATGTTATTCTATAGTTGGGTCACAGCAATCAAGGGTCCATCTACAGTGTAGAATTAATCCAGTTTGACCTTGCTTTTACTGCTATGGCTCAATGTACCTGATGCAAATTCAAAACACTTTTTGAGCTTATTTCTTGGTTGGGAATGGGGACAAATGCAAGCCACCTGCAATAGTAGCCAAACCCCTAGGATCAAAATGCCCTGCATACTAGGAGTGCAATGAATTTAAACAACAGCTGAGTGAGAAACTCATAACCTATAAAAGTATAGGTTGTTCATGCAACTATGCCACAGCTAGCACCATCATTTTTGTAAACACCTTTGATATGATTACCAATGCAAAAGGAAGTCTAAAAATCTGAAACTGAGATATTGGGAGTATATATGGTACATACTTGTCCTCATATAGATACAGGCTGAAATGAGGAAACAGAAATTTGTCAAGCTAAGTAGGATATAATAGGCAAATAATTAAAAATCAGTTCAAAAATCCTTTTGTGGTATTTTCTACATACAATCTAAAATGGAATTTGCAATGGTTTTCTTGGCAGGAACCAACTGACAGCATGGATGCGATTCAAACTGTACAGATCAACACTTAAAGAATTTCAGGAAAACTAAGAGCAGAGGGCAGGGTTTTACTCCCCAGTTCTTAGTTCAGGATACCCAGGGCAAGGTCTTCTATACACCTCTGTTGAAATAGCAATGTTTCCATAGTTGCTAGTCATATAAATTAATAATTAATAAATTAATAATTTTATCTAATGTACAGCTCTACCTCCCCATATTCTCCTCCCAAAATCAAGGTAACCCAAAGGACAACAATAGGTTTGTGGGTTTTTTATATCCCATAATTGAGGTTTCTATAGTTATACTACAGAGATGCACTAACTTTAAGTAATACTTATCCATTTAAATCCACAAACTATTCATCCAGAACAGGTTGTAATGCAAAGTGCACACAATTATAGTTGAACAGTTTAATTTAAACTATTGTGATTTAAGAATCAAATTATGTGTTAAAATTCTCACTCAAATCCAGTACTGGCTCTTCAGTTATGTAATCCTTCTATAAGGAAATATTGAGAGACCCTTAACTACAGCAGCACTACTGGATGCCATTATAATTAACAAGGACATGCAAAAAATAAATTAACAGTTATGTTTTATAATCATGTGAAAGTGAAATGAGCTCATGAAGAGGTCCAAGTACTTACTGTGATCTCATTAGCCAAATTTTACATGCTATTTTATATCACTACTTATGCTGTTAGAGTATTAATTTGCCAATGTGTTCCATAGATTCATAAAAGCATATTTTAAATATCCTGTAATGAAGCATGAGAACTGTTTGGCAATATTGTGGTTTAGCCTGCATCTATACGGGGACAAATATGTATATAGTCCCAATATCTCAATTTCAGATTTTAGTCTATCTTTTCCTTTAAATATGGATCTGGATGAAAACAAGACAGCTTCACACTATGAAAAATCAGTTGGGGGGGGGGGCAAGTGTTGCATATATTTTAATCTACTGTAATACAAAGGGATGTATATTAGTCTGACTCTCAGAAACACAGCTCCAAGATTTTGGAATGTGTAATATGGGGGAACCCAACAGCATGAACTGAAGGGATACCTGGCTGTATGAAAAATCAATTAATGTTAATTCATTCAAATGCAGCCATATGTTTGAAGCCCACCATGCAGTTATGAAGAGATAAGACTTTCCTAACCAGTGCAATCCCGTGTGACTGGCATTTATACTTAACAGAGTTAACAGAGCCAATGGAGAGTATTCTAAGGGACACATTTATAGAGCGTCCTCCTCCCTCCAAAGTGAGGCAACTCTTCCTCAACTTAAGAGAAATGGACAAATCTTTTCCCTCTGGAGACTGCAAAGGTAAACAGTGGTTCATGCTGCGCTCTGAGAGGGTGGATCCAATGTGTCCAAATCTGACTCTCTCCAACTCTGCTTGAATGCTTCAACATACAAAATGAAGGTGGCTATTTCAAACCACATAAAGCCAAATACATTTGCTAGTGCAATATACTGTAGAGCAGACCTGCATAACTTGTGGCCCACCAAGGATTTTGGACTTGGTGGCATTTTGGACTCATAAATCATGACCACTGAACAAGTTGGCTAGGGCTTCTGGGAGTTGGAATCCCAAACACCTGGAGTAACAGGTCTAAATACACTAAAGGCACCACATACTGTCAGATCGTGGAAGCTAGATGGGGTCAGGCCTGTTTAGTAATTTAATCATGGACCGCCAATGAATACTCGGTGGAACCAACTGGCAAATTCATCTCTGTGTTTTCCTTGCATAAGAAAACCCTATGAAATTTACGGGGTCACCTTAAGTCATCAGGTGACTTGAAGACACATACATGCACACATGATAACACTGTCTATGTTGCACAGACAAAATTTGGTCGTTCATATATACTTTTGTTCTTCAGTTGGAAGAATGACTACATGCTGTTAACTACATAACATTTTACAGTAAACAAGATGTACTGGAACAGGCCTGCACAACATGTGGCCTCCAGGTGTTCTGGACTTCAGCTCCCAGAATTCTTGACTATGGAACAAGCTGGCTAGGGATACTAGGAGTTGGGATTCCAGAAAGCTGAAATGCAACAGGTTGTGCAGGTCTGTACAAAAATACCTCCTTTGGTGAATCAACCTTTGTCAGTTTACTGGGTTGCCTTATTATGGCATAACATAATAGAACTCCAGAACTGTTATAGAACTCCAGTATGCTGATGACAATGTCGTCCGTGCACATTCAGAAGAAGATCTACAAGCCACTCTAAACACCTTCGCAGAAGCATATGAGAAGCTCGGCCTGTCATTGAACATTGAAAAAACCAAGGTGCTGTTCTAGCAGACACCAGCCAACCCCTCTCCAATGCCAGTGATACAGCTTAATGGTGTAACATTAGAAAATGTTGATCATTTCCACTACCTTGGCAGCCACCTCTCCACCAAAGTCAACATCGACACCGAAATACAACACCGCCTGAGCTCTGCGAGCGCAGCATTTTTCCGAATGAAGCAGAGAGTGTTTGAGGACCGGGACATCCGTAGGGATACCACGGTGCTTGTTTATAGAGCTATTGTCCTCCCAACTCTGCTATATGCCTCCGAGACGTGGACTGTTTACAGACGTCACATGCAACTCCTGGAACGATTCCATCAGCGCTGCCTCCGGAATATCCTGCAAATCTCTTGGGAAGACAGGCAGACAAACGTCAGCATGCTGGAAGAAGCAAAGACCACCAGCATTGAAGCGATGGTCCTCCGCCATCAACTCCGCTGGACCGGCCATGTTGTCCGGATGCCCAACCACCATCTCCCAAAGCAGTTGCTCTACTCCGAACTCAAGAACGGAAAACGGAATGTTGGTGGACAGGAAAAGAGATTTAAAGATGGGCTCAAAGCCAACCTTAAAAACTCTGGCATAGACACTGAGAACTGGGAAGCCCTGGCCCTTGAGCACTCCTGCTGGATGTCAGCTGTGACCAGCAGTGCTGTAGAATTTGAAGAGGCACGAATGGAGGGTGAAAGAGAGAAACATGCCAAGGGGAAGGTGCATCAAGCCAACCCCGACCGAGACCACCTTCCACCTGGAAACCAACGCCCTCACTGCAGAAGAAGATGCAGAGCAAGAATAGGGCTCCATAGCCACATACAGACCCACAAGAACACTGGAAGACAATCATCCTCGGAAAGCGAGGGATCGCCTAACTAACTAACTATTATGGCATACACCAAAACAAATGTCATGTTGTTTTAAATTGCTCACCATGAAGATTTGGCAATTATTTATTTATTTATTTATTAAAAGTATTCCACCACCCTGCATAAGATTCAAGATGCACACATCTTTCCCCAAGTAATACAAGTAGCTGTCACCCATACTGTAGCTTGCCACCATATGATAAAACTATGAGGCACTTAGAAAATCCCTACTACTCAGAAAAAGCTGTTACATACTTCGAGGGAAAGTTGTCTGGACACAGTAACTGTAACATGAATAGCAGAAAATGTCCCCATATGGAAAACTAAACTACCTATTCCACTAACCATAGAAAACAGTTGTTCATCTATGAGAACACAAGGCAAAACTTGCCTGCAGAAACAAATTCATGTTTTCTTCGCTCACACTATGTGTCTCTCCCCCACCCTGCATCACTACAGATAAGGTCTCTATGATTCATTCATGTGTTCAGTGCACAGGTGAACTGAGCAGGAAAGAAAGATGTCTTGTTTGCTTTGTGCTAAGACTTCTCAGTAACCCAAAGACAGGAATGCTTCTATTCAAAAGACTCACCAGATTTTTTTATTAAAATGCACATGCTGGATGGTGTAGAAAGGAATTTAGATTTCATATTAAGTTATTTAAACTGATTTTATACAGATTGGTTAATGAGCAAGGCTCACTAAGATGCCATTCCTGCCCATCTACTATTGATTGGCTTATTTCTTTCCATTTCCCTTCCTAGTTGGTGTTCCCGCTAGATAAACAGAAGAACTCTCCTTCTCCCTTTATGCTTCTCAAAACTTAGTAGGAGGCTTCTCCGCACAATCAGAGTAA